CTCCTGCCTCACTGACCCGGGGGTCCGGAGGATTGTCTTTCTCCCCTCCTCTCCTCCTCTCTGCTCCAAAAAAAAACCCTCCCCAACAAAACTTGTAAAGAACCTGCCCAACAGCTTTTTCCACTCTACATAGTTATTCGAAGAGTTGCCGTTGACCTGGCCTTGGCCAGAGGCAGGTCCAAAATTGGAGCCATGGCAGCTTCTCGAAGCCTCTTACAGAAGCCACCTCTGTAGCCCCCTCCCCTACTACCAAAATCCCGCCAAACACAAACCCAACACAAACATGAATCAAGAATTTCAGGGGAAAGTAATGCTTCATTAACCACTGATATTGATATGTTTCTAGTTTCCTGTCTGTGTTCAGTTTTCTTTTCTATAGTATGTAAATTGGCACTTAGTTTTGGTAATTAGTTTGTGAAGCATTTAAAGACTTGCGTAAAAAGTGATTTCTTTCTTGCTCTTCTACTTCCTTAATTTTTAGCTTTTGGACTTCCTGGATCAGCATCCTTTTTCATTCACCACTTTGATTCAGAGGTCATTGGAATTTGCTGTAAGCTATGTTTTCACAGAGGCTGGTGAAGGAATTGTATTTGAGCGGTTTATTGTACAGTGCATGAATCTCATTAAGATGATTGTGAAAAATTATGCGTACAAGCCATCCAAAAATATTGAAGGTACTGCTGCTATTTACTAAAACCGTTTTTTGTGTCCTGAAACATTTTCCTAGTTGTTCCCAATAGTAAAACTGCTTTAAGACATTCTTTTGAAGCTCTTACTGTTTTAATAGTTAGTAATGTATGCTCTGTCTCTATGTTGATAATTCTTATTTTGATGTTTAAACTATTAATATATATAGACGTTAACTGGCTAAAGTAGTTTTAAATGCACAAAGAGTGTGAATATCTTTTCTTTGTTGATTGTTTTAGTTTTCATTGAACGAATTTTAAAAAGTGTTGAGGTATGGAATTTGTTTTATTTTCATCAGATGGTTTGATGCATTTTTCCTTTGAGAAATGATTGCTGAAACAAGATAGTTGCTGTAATTACTAATGCCAGTACTCTGAACTACAGAAACACGGTGAATTTGACATACAGTTGAACAGAAAGCAGGTTATATGTTCTGCTTTGTAGGACTGTGTTTTGTTCTGAATCTTCATACATGGTATGTACAGATAATGACCATAGAATTGAATGAAAGAACAAAAAACACGAACAACCTTCCACATTAATTTGAAATTTGGCAATGACTAGATAACAATTAGCATTCTCTTTCTAAGTTTAAAAAAAAAGTTTCATCAACATGGTATGTGTCAGAAAGATTATGCAAATCCAGCATTTAAAATTCTTCAAAATGTTGATGTATTCCAGTGTTATTCCACAATTACACAATATGTTAGTGTCCTAAATTCACTGATTATTAACAGAAATTTTTTACTTGCAGGAGTTCATAGTTGTGTTTGAGTTTTTGAAGTAGAAATGTGGTCACTTGAGAAAAGAAAATATAGTACATTCTGATAAAAGCTATAGCACTTGACTTTTTGAGAACTGGATGATTAAAAAAAATAGAAAATTTAATTTTCTTGTTTCTGACTGATACACAGTGTTTGACATACAGTTTTTATATTGGTTATATAGTGTATGGTATTTGGTTTTATTGCTGCTTTCGTTAACCAGTATTAACTCCTAAAAAACCCAAGTTATTCTTAAGACTGTATTTGGGTAATGTTTTTAAATAGTCACAAATTAAACTTTCTTTGACTTCTATGTGTTTTATATTCAGTAATGCTAAATAAAAAAAAAAAAAAAACACAAACAAACAAAACCAAAACCGGCTGGTGCACAATTTTTCTTTTCATCAAATAGTAGCTGAAAAGCATTATAAATAATTTGTGAAGCCCTAATTACCCGTCAGTCTAATTGTGCTGTTAGAGAACTCTTAGAAATAAATTAATATGGGAGTTTAATTTTCTTAAAAAACATACCACCACACCAGAAAGTCTGTTATGCAAGTCTACCATCAAAATGGGGTTTTGTTTTGTTTTGTTTTTTTCTCTCTGAGGATAAGAATTCTTATTGATTTCTTTCTAATTTTACTACTACCATTTTGATCATTAAGCCACTTAAGTGTAATTTGGAATTTTCTGTGTTTTATTTCAGATAGCAGTCCTGAAACTCTAGAAGCACATAAGATAAAGACAGCGTTTTTCACCTATCCAACACTAATGGAAATGTGTAGGAGATTAGTCACTCACTATTTTCTGCTGACAAAGGAGGAATTAACCATGTGGGAAGAAGACCCAGAAGGCTTCAGTAAGAAACGTGTTGTATAGTTGGTTGCAGTTTATTTAGATATTGGTATAAGAGTTTCAAATCTGTGTTGCATCTAGAAATTGCGTACTGCAATATTGCCTGTTTCATTTTCTGCGGTAGTCTTGTTACATGGACAAATACTCCCTCTAGAGATTATTTTCATAACGAGATTTTTCGGTAGTCTAATACCCACATATCTAAATGTTAAACTTTTTAAACCATAGTTGAAATAATACTATTTCATTTTCTTTGTGAAATAATAGCTGTAGAAGAGACAGGAGGAGATTCTTGGAAGTACAGTCTCAGAGTAAGTGTTTCAATTTGAAAGCAAACCATTCAACGTTTCTGGATGCACTCCTTGATAGTCTTATAAGCAAGAGAGATGGTATTTGATAGAAAGATAAGCTTGTGCTTTTCAAAAAAGTCTTTAAATAAATTTTATTAGAATTAGTATAAATTAACTTTTTTCCTTTGTCAGTGTTCAACCGTGCTGAAATACACTAGAAACTGCACTTCATATTGTAGGAGGGAGGGGAAGGAGTTTGCTTCAGCATTTGTATCGTGTAGTATCTGATGGTGATTAAACCCAGTAGAAATTATCTCTTCTATAAACTGATAACTGATGTTATCGCTTATGACTTGTTATTAGATATGATGAATGAAGAAAGTTTCAGGTGCATCTATATTAGCATTTTAGTTCAAATCAAAAGTATGCTGTTGTAGTGAATCTCCCAATTACTGCTGCTGTCATTTGCTTTGTAGAGGGATCTTAAAGTTTATTTGCTGGGTTACTTCCATTTTAAAACTAAAAAACCCAATCCTGTGCATCTAGTGCAAGTGAGTATTCAGTCTAGATGACTCAGCTAGAGTTAATCTGTAAAGAAACCGCAGCATACCTACTGTGGTCACTGGCTCCTCAGAACCAGCTATTTCACTCCACAGTTCCATTGTTCTTCTAATGCAGAACCGGCTGACACAAAGCATCAAATTCTTGCTAGAGTTAAGCATACTGTATAGTGGGAAGAGTCGTATTTCGTATAATACGAATTTTGCTACAGTATATTGCATTTTAAATTATGATCTTTGGTGCGAGGTATTCGGCACTTAAAATTTTAGCATAAAATGTGTTTTAATTGCCTTTATTTTGTTAGATTCTAAAACAGATCTTTTAATTTTTCAGCCATGCACAGAAGTTCTTTTTATTGATATTTTCCATGAATATAATCAGACTCTTACTCCTGTGCTTTTAGAAATGGTTCACAGTCTACAAGGTAAGTTCTGTAAAAAATAGAGGAACTGTAAAATGTAGAATTCTTTACATTCACTTTGTCAACTGTTGAACAGTTTTACCTTGTGATACCTAGTTTTATATAGTGCATCCACTCTGTATTTTTGAAAAGACATGTTAATATTTTAAAATTACTTCTAAACCTGCCATAAGGAAAATGCAAGGGGCATCTAGGAACAGCAAATCCTAAGGATTCTTTAGTTTTCCTTGTAACTATTTTATATGACTGACCAAGATTGGGGCATTTCTACTTTCATGAGATTTCAGGCTTTCTTGAGAATGGTCAACAAGCTTAATAAATTCTGTACGTTGTTTTTTACTGGTAACTTCCTGTTGAAATGTTGCAAGGCAGTGTATGGTAATTCAAGGCAGTTTATGGTAATTCTGCCATGTCTCTGCAAAAATCCGGGGGGGAGGGGGGAACCGTTAAAGAAAAAGCTCAAGTTATGCTGTCGTTTTGGAGAGTCTAAAGGACTTTTCAAATCTGAAGAATACGCTTTAAATATCTAGTGGTTTCCCATATGAAGACTGAAGTCTTCATAGACTGAGGAATGGTTCAAGTTCACTTTCTATTCTATTCTATGGTTCTGTGACTCTTTGTCCCCAAAGCTAAGCTTTATAGTGGCCATGAAAGACAACGAGTGGTAGCTGCCACTTTGTTGTTTTGTTTTTGTTTTTTTTTTTTCCCTGTCATTTCAGCTTAGGTTGTTTTGCCAGGTTGTATCCTACCTGACTTACAGTATTTTATATTTGAACTTACCAGAATGGATCAGTATATTCTATTAAATAGAAATAAATATTTATTTTCTGGGGGTGATTCCTGACTTCACAGAATCTCTTCATAAAATACTGTGTGTACATAAGTTTGGGAATGGTTTGCTGTGCTATGATACTGGGAATGGTAAAAGGTTCCTTACAACAGGGTTGACAATTATTTTGTTTTCCAAGAATTATGGAAGTTAATACTTCCATGCTAAAAGGTACATATACACTTCTTTTTTTATTCTTGTAGCCTCTAGTAGCTATTTCTGGATGTCTTCAACTTGAGAGTTACTGCTGAAGTGTTAGATGATATTAAGAATGCATTAATTCTTAAGATTTTGGAAAACCTTTATTTATATGTTGTAAGTACACATGCACATATATGTAAAGTATATAGGAACTAGGTCTAGGGCTGTTGGAAGTAGTACCACATGGTAGACAGGTCTTCAGCAATTTGCAGGTTTTGAGTTTATTCATTTAAAATACATACTTCTGACTGACTTGTATGTTGTTGCTAAAGATGTTCAAAGAAGTCAGTGGGGTATGAAAGCAGAGATTTGATTTTAGTATATTGACCGAAGAAAGTATGGAAACTGAAATAACTCAACTTGGGAATTAAACAAAAATAGCGAAGCAGTCTTAATTCACAGCGTACTTATTGAAAGTATGTAAGTGCAAAGTTGCTTGCGTTCTCTGTTTTGGTTACACTTTTTTCTTTATTTTAACTTTGTGTTGTAGGATCTACCAACATAGAAGATACCAGTGCTATATTGATTAAAGATGCTGGTAAATTCAGTTTTACTTTACCTTTGAAATAACAGAACTGCATTTGTATATGTGCCTGACTTCTTAAAAATTATGTGAAGAGTTTGCAAGACTTTTTTTTAAAGACATTTGGAAAGTGGGACCTAAATCCTCTTTCTGCTTTCGCTTGGTGTCAGTCTTCACTTTTCAAAATGCTTATGTAAAAATATAGTACTTTTTTCAGCTTTTTTGTGAAACAAACCCTTAAACAATCTCCCTTACTGTCCTGTCCTTTCCTCTCTGCAAATAAATGAGCCGCAGTGCTTCTGTGGAGATACTCTGTCCGTTTTACAAGTAAGGAGATTTTATGGCAAAAGAAAAGAATTGTTTAAGACCTGTGGTGGAACCGTTCATGATGTTAGAATAAAATCTTCTTTGTTCTTAATGGCTTTTAAGTATTTTCAAGAGTCTGAATTTTCTTCTGTAATACCTTTCTTTTACTAAAATTTCCTTCTGGGATCCCTTCAACGTGGTCTGATAATATCTTTCTTCAGAAAGATATGCTTTAGTTTTTTCTTTGTTATATTCAGGTTATCAAAAATGTTTTCTGACACTTAAATTAGTCTGATTATTTAGTGTTAAAAATTAAACATATAAACAAACAATAAGCATAACTATTGTTTTTTACCAGTGTATAATGCGGTTGGACTGGCTGCTTACGAACTATTTGATAGTGTGGATTTTGATCAGTGGTTTAAAAATCAACTGTTAGCAGAACTACAGGTTTCTCATAACAGGTAAATGCCTTGTTTTGTTATACCTTCATCATTTAAATGTAAACTGTTGATACAAATCTGGTAAGATATAATGTCTCATAATTGCAGACTTGAAGAATACTCAATATTTAAACATAACCACTAAATGAGCAGAGCTATGAAATAAATACAGATAACTGATACAGTCACAGAGGTGGCAGAGTTCCTGACAGTTTCTGTTTATGTTTAAATTACTGTGTTGTGGATACTTCCAGTGTTCTGTAAAAATATTATAAGTCTGTCTTCTTGCATATATTTGAGTTGACTAAACTTTCTCAGGACAACCACCTTTCATTTAAAGAAAGATATTTAGGCCTTCTGAGTCCCCAGAGCCCTTTAGGCAGCGAAAGTCCAACAGGAATCTGTGGAAATAATCTCTGTAAAACCGTGGCTTAGCCAAAATAGTGATTTGTTCTTCCCTGCTAGTTTAAATACTCTCTGTAGGACTCTCAGTTAATTTTGCCAGCAATGGAGTGGGGAAGTAAGGATTTGGATTGTATTGTAAAGTGTAAATGATTAGAGGCTCTTTCTACATAAACTGTATTATACAGCTGTGGATTTTCCTTCCTACCAAGGTCCTCTTTGTTTGGGTGGCCTTCACCTAAGTACCTTTTTTTATTTAGCTGGTGTCATAAAGTATTTTGAAAGACTGGTTTTGGCATCTCAGTACAAACTGAGCTGTCCATCTTGACAACTGATAGAAGACAGTGTTCTTTTCTGTTCCTCGGTCTGTAAGTCTTCCCTCAGGGAAAGGACAGTCACTGCTATTGTGTGTCCTAATCCTCCTCATCAGATGAGTTCCAAATCACGCTTTGACTCTGAATAAGTATGTCTTATTTTTCCCATCAGAGTAATTAGCAGTGACCCTGATGTCCATTGAAGAATTTTACTGGTTTTCTTTCTTCTGCATTTGCAGTTCATCGTTATCAGACATAATTATTATTTGAAATACAAACTAATTTGTTTGCTAATACTCTTAGGATCTACTGTAAATTGTGAATGATTTTCCATATATGGAATGTTCCATAATTTTCCATAAAAACTAGCCTTTTTTTTTATTTCCAAGTTCCAGTTATGAATACTTTCTTTACAAATACAGTTCAAGTTCATGTAGAGTGGAA